TTGCCAACTTGTATAGCCACTGTGGAAATCAGTATGGTGACTCCTCAAAAAAATGGGAATCAGTCTACCACAAGTACCAGCAATTCCACTCTTGGGCATATAGCCAAAAGAAGCACATTCATACTGCAAGGACATATGTTCAACAATGTTCATAGCAACAGTATTTGTAATAGCCAGAAACTGGAAGCAGCCTATATGCCCCTCAACTGAAGAATGGATAGAGAAAATGTGGTACATTTGCATAATGGAGTACTACTCATTGGAAAAAACAATGGAATCTTGAATTTTGCAGGAAAATGGATGGATCTAGAAGAAACCATTCTGAGCGAGGTAACCCAATTGCAAAAAAACAAACATATGTACCCACCCATATGCTGATTTTAGACATAGAGTAACGATTACCAGCCAACAATCCACACTGCCAAAGAAGCTAATTAACATGGGGGTCCCTAAGAGAGACATACATGGTCCCCTGAGAAGGGGAAAAGTTCAAGATCTGCTGAGCAAATTGGGAGAATGGAAAGAGGGGGGAGGGAGCTAGGAGAATGAGAAGGGGAGAAGAAGAGGGATGCCGAGGATATGAGGGAGCAGAAAATTTGAGTCAGGAAGAATACACGATAACAAGACTGGAGACATCATAATAGAGGGAGACCTTTTTGGGTTACAGAGCAATCACTAGGGAAATGTCTGGAGATCTACAAAGATGACACCAGGTAACTAGCTCAGCAACAGAGGAGAGGCTACCTTAAATGCCCTCCACTGATTATGAGATTGATGACTGACTTATATGCCTTCATCCAGAAGCTGGTGGAAGTAGAAGCAGACACCCAGAACCCATAAGAGAAGGACCAGTGAAGAGCACAGAGGTCCAGACCAAGCTGGTGAAACACAGAAACAGCTGACCTCAACATCTGGGAACTCTTGCTCCCCAGTCTGATAGCTGGAATACCAGCATGGGACTGATCCAGACCATGGGTTTCTTTGAGGAAACCTTAGAAATCTATGGGACCTCCTGTAGAAGCCCAGTATTTATCCCTAGCATAGGTGTGGACTTTGGGAGCCCATTCCATATAGAGGAATACTCGGTGGGCCTAGACCCGATCCCAAAGGATACGAAAGACTCTGATGACACCCTATGGAAGGCCTCACCATCCAGGGGGAGCAGAAAAGATATGTGACAGATAAGGTTTTAGTTGTGGGGACGGATAGGGGAGAATGGGTGGGAGAAGGGAAATGGGATTGTTATGTAAAACAATCCTGTTTCTAATTCAAATTTAAAAAGTTGGGAAAAAAGAAATAGTTTTTTAATAGATTTTTTTTAATATTACTTAATTTGGAGCCATGGTTTACTAAAAGTTAAGTCCATGGACAGTGTTTAGGTGAATACTTAGTTTGTGTTGGGACTTTGTAGTACATTAAATTGCTTTAAAAGTCTAGCTTCCTGGGTGTAGGTCACTCTACCTCATATAAATTACTATTTTTGTTTAATTATTGTTTTTCTGAGACTGTGTCTCATTGTAGCTCAAGCTGGCCTGGAATTCACACTGTAGCCCCTGCTGGCCTCTCATGGTAATCCTCTTCTCTGAACTTGGAAGTGTTGGGGTTTCAGGCAAGAGCTGCTAAGCTCATCTCCAAATTGTTTATTGTTGCAAGAAGAGAGTTTGTAAGACTAGCTGAGGAACTAATGCATTCATTTGGATGTCTTCAATAATTAACATGTATGGGTCTTAGTAAGATGTACCAGTGTAGCAAGGAATCAGTTTGCCAGTTATTCCTCCAGTCTCTCGGACAGTCTCCTCCCATCCCCCTCGCCCCAAGTAATTTTGGAAACCTGTGTCTGTGTATAGCATTCCTCCAAATCCAACTTTCTTTTCTCTTGGTATTTTTGTAATTATTTAATGGTTTCTGTTTATTTTATTGGTTTCTTTTTTTCTTGCATATATGTCTGTGTGAGAGTGTCAGATCCCCTGGAACTGGAGTTACAGACAGTTGTGCGCTGCCATATGGGTGCTTGAACTGAATCCAGGTCCTCTGGAAGAGCAGCCAGTGCTCCTAACTGCTGAGCCATCTCTCCTGCCCCGTATGGTTGCTGTCTTAGTTAAGGTTCCAGTTGCTGTGAAGAGACACCATGACCACGACAACTCTTATAAAGGAAAAATTTACTCGGGTGGCTTATGGTTTCAGAGGTTTACTCCACTGTCATCATAGTGGGAAACATGGGGTCATGCAGGCAAGCATGGTGCTGGAGAAGGAGCTGAGAGTTTTACATCTTGATTCCCCAGGACACAGGAGGTGAACTGTGACACTGTGCATAACTTGAGCTTAGGAGACTCGAAGCCCACCCCCACAGTGCCACACTTCATAGGGAGATTCATGCATGTCTCTCTCCCCCCACACACTCTTCTTGTTACTTAGGCTCTCTGGGTCTGTGATTATAGCATGACTATCCTTTTCTTAATAGCATATATCCACTTTGGATATATACCATGTTTGTTCTTCTGGGTCTGTGTTACCTCACTGCAGATGATTTTTTTTTCTTAGTTTTTCAAGACATGGTTTCTCTGTGGCTTTGCAGGCTGTCCTGGAACTAGCTGTTGTAGATCAGGCTGGTCTGGAACTTAGAGAGATCCGCCTTCCTCTGCTTCTTAGTGCTGGGATTAAAGGCTTGCCCCTCAACAACCTGGCTCTGAATTTGTTGAGTTACCTATAAGGTTGCTTTCATACAAGTATATATTATGTACTGGTGAAAGGAGGGCTCACAGAAAAGACAGGAAATGGATGCTGAATCCCAAGTTGTTCACTTAGGCTGCCGAAGCATCAAAATATCTAGAAGCCAGCTAGGCAGATCACCAGCACACTGCAAAAGAATGTCTCTTCTACTGAAATATCCAAAAGTCTCAGGCTGCTTTGAGGCCCCTAAGGGGAATACTAGTGTATTCGTGTCAAGTTGTTCCCTGTCCCAGCAAGGGGAGTGGAACATGTTAGTGTCATTTGGATCTGGAAATTGTCTGATAATGAAGTTGAGAACTCATGAATTTTTCCTGGTTTAATTTTTCTGCCTAGATGGGCCAGTATTCTCAAAATTGGAATTGAGGAAGAATGAAACCAAAGTTGACCCTGGGGTAAGTATTAGGAATTGATTTCTACCCCTGAATCCACAGCTAGTTTCTGGCTTTTATTAGAATAAGGCTAGAGCTATTCTACTTTGTGATATCAAGATATTAATATACCTCTACATAGCATTAATACTTTCATTGTTGGCTTGCAACCTTCTGTGAAATAGTACAGATCACAAGCCAAGTTTTGATGGTGCATGTAATACTGGCATTTTGGCAGGCTGAGGCAGGATTGTAAATTAAAAGCTAGTGTGGGCTATATAAGCAGATCTTATCTCAACCAACCAAATCGACTGGAGAAATGGCTTCCAGGTTAAGAGCACTGGCTGCTCTCCTAGAGGACCTGGGTTTGATTCCCAGCACCCAATTGGAGGCTCACAACCCTTCTTGACTCCAGGTTCAAGGGATTAGAAGTTCTATTCTGTCCTTAGAGAACACTGGATGTGTATGGTATGCAGACATACATGAAGGCAAAACACCCATGCATGTGAAATTTAAAATATTAAAAGACAAGAGAAAGAAGCCTGATATCTCTCACTTAAATAAGAACAACTTTTAGATGAACTTGAAAGCTTCTATGCTAGCTATACTATTTCAGATTTTCTTCCTTGAAATCTTAATGAATTTTAAAATGTATTTTAGTTTTATAATATAGCATTGATCTTGATCATTTTGAAAATATCTATCTTTTTGTTGTTGTTGTTCACTTTGAGATAGGATTTCCTCCTAGCTAGGGAAGCTATGGAGCCACTCTTGAAACTCACTCTTTGACCAGGCTGGCCTGGACCTGACAGATCTATGCCTCCTGAGTACTGGGATTAAAGGCTCGAGTCCCCACCGCCTGGGGTATATCTATTTTTTTTAAAGTGTCTCCTTTGATGTGCTTGAACTGTGTTCATGCTTTAGGGAGACCCAGGTAGACTATTACTACCATGCTTAAAGTTTTCTGCTGAGTTAGTAATAATACTTCTGATAGCACATAAGGGGCTGGTGTGGAAACTGAACCTGTTCGAAGGTACTGTGGAATGTCATAGACTGCTTTCTTCTATGCCTGACACTCCCAGGAAAGGAGCTGGGCATCACGTGGTTTTACTGACTGCTGATTGTCACTCTCTTACAGAACTCAACTGTGCCCAACTCTGTTCCTGCTGAATTTGAGGCAGCTGGCCCCGGCTTCATCCCATCACCGGTTCCCCAGGATAGAGGCCCCAGAGGCCCTCCCATTGCAGAAGATCCAAGAAGTCCCATTATGAGTAGGCCACCCCTATTCCCACCGCCTCCTCTGGGAAACATCCATGCCAGTCCTCCGGATTATTTTACACCAAGGGACTTTGCTGACCCACCTTTCCCGCCATACCCAGGTAGGCTTTTTTTATAAGTCCAAGTATGTGTCAATATTCATCTGTGTGTTTCTTATTATTCTGACAAAGACTGGCCAGAACCAACTTGAGAATCAAAAAGTTTATATGACTCACCGGTTACAGTCCAGCAACAAAGGAAGCTAAGGCTTAACCTTGATCCACCTTGGGTAATTTTGAATTTTAACTGTATTGTGAAAGGTCAGAATATCAGTAAATTTACAAGCAGTTTTATTTTTGTTAGTGCCCTTCCCCCAAGGCAGGGTTTCTCTATAGCTTTGGAGCCTGTCCAGGAACTCTTACTCTGTAGACCAGGCTAGCCTTGAACTCACAGAGATCCACCTGTCTCTCCTTCCCTAGTGTTGGGATGAAATTTATTGTGGCCATTAAGGTAATTGCTCATATTTATTTCTTAAGATTACTGACTAAGTGTTTTAAAGTATTTCTCATAAACAGTAGGTCCCATATGATCATATTTAGATCATTTAGACAAGACCCTGCTTAGTTTTCATAGGTGTCTGCTCTCTGCCTTCACCTCTACTCTCTCTTTTGTTGTTGTTGTTGTTGTTTTTTGGTTTTTCAAGACATGGTTTCTCTGTGTAGCTTTGGAGCCTATTCTGGCACTTGCTCTAGAGACCAGGCTGGCCTCGAACTTTCAGAGGTCCGCCTGCATCTTCCTTTTGAGTATTGGGATTAAAGGTGTGCACCACCAACGCCCAGCTGTCACCTCTACTCTTAAACTTCTAGTCAATTGAGATGAGTTTTGTTTGGGAAGTTTTAAGGTCATCCTTGACATTACAGGAAATGCTTTCAGTAGGATATCATGTCAGGATCACTGATCTGAATATGAAGTTGAAAATTTTACTCCATTGAAAAGCTGTTTTACAGTAAGTCTTGAAGTATTGGAATCTTGAGTACCTGCCAAGATAGGACAAACACAACTGAAACTGATGGTGGGTGATGTTCTTACTAATCCTATGTAGTTTAGAAGTACATTTTACAATGTCAAGATTTATGTGTGAGATCAAGTTTTGTGGTGTTTGGGTATCAGAATAGGGGCTGGAGCTAGTGTTTCAACAAGTGCACAGTACAGGGTTTCACCTTTCAACTTTCACCGTCTTTTGCCCATCTCTTCAAACAGGAAGAACTGTGTGAGAACTGAGGGGCTTTCCACCTTACCTTTCCCCAAGAGCTGGGTTCTTCCCCTCACTCCCACATCCTGAAAGTAGAAATGAGCTACCCCCAGACTTGATTCTGCCTTCCAAACAACCTGCTCCCAAACCTCTGGAAACACAGGAGACCTGAGAGATTCCTCGGCGCTCATTTTTGGCTTAAGGAACTGCTGTTACTTAAGTGATTGTATTGTTATTTAATTGAAGCTTAATGGAATTATAATTCTCAGAATGGTAATTTGTAAAGAAAGATGATTTAAATATGAATCCTATGAGTAAATTATTTCCCTCTATTTTATTATGGATAGTATGTTTTACTTTGATTAACTCTTCCATAATTATGGTAGATTTATACATGTAATCTAATAGTTGGGGATATCTGCAACCCCAAATGCTGTGTCTTTATACTAGGCATGTGTTCGCCATGGTTGTAGAAAAATGGAAAGGTAATTGTATGTTTAATCAAATAAATTTTAATGTATTTAAAGTCTTGTTTGGCATTGATAATACTAACACCAGCCAGTTTCACATAAGCATGGCTCCATAATTTAGTCTTTTTACCTGTACCAATAATTCAGTGGTTCGAAAGGGAAAGTGTCTGGGACTGGAGAGATGGTGGCTCAGTGGTTAAGACTGGGTGCTCATGCGGAACAGAGGATTGGGCTTGGTTCCCAGCATCCATATGGCAGTTCCAACTCCAAGGAATCCAATGGCCTCTTCTGCCTCCAAGTGCACCAGGAATGCATGTAGTGCACATGCATGCATGTGGTGCACAGACATGAAGGTAGTGCACAAGGTATGCATGTGGACGCTGCATTCATGTAGAATACATCATGCACTAGTGCATCAGGCATGTACAGAGTGCATCAGGCATGCATGTAGTGTCCAGTGTGCATGCAGTGCACAGCATGCCTGTAATGCACAGACATGTATGTAGTACACAGGTGTGTATTTAGACAGAACATCTGCACATATAAATATATATAAAGAGACAAAAAGCCTTGATGCTTTTTCTGATGTGATTATCTGACAGAATATGTACCCTACTTCTTTCAGTTACATGTGACTGACCCAAATAAAATAATAAACCTTAAAGCCTTAAATATGTCTTCATTTTAAAGAAAATGGGGATATTGTCTAGTGATGAGTTTCAGAATTTATTTTAACTTAGTTCACTGATTAAGTTTTGTTTTTTTAACATTTCAAAAACAATGTGTGTGTGAGAGAGAGAGATGTAGAGAGAGAGGAGAGAGAGAGAGAACACAACAGCAGGCACACACAAGCCCACTCTCGTGCAGGATGTATGGTGATCAGAGGACAGCTGGAAGATTATCTTTCTACAGTAGGTTCTGGAGACAGCTCAGGTTCTCAGGATCATACAGTGAGCACTTTCCTCTGTATCCTGCCAGTCCTACTGAGTGGTTTTCTTACATAATTTCTCTTTCTCTTACTTTAACTATTTATCTATTTATTGATTTTGTTTGTTTATTTCTTAGACACTGGGTTTTTGTGTGTAGCTCAAGTTGTCCTGCAACATGCTGTGTTGACCAGACTGGCCTTGAATATGGAGATATTCCTGTTTCTGCCCATGGAGTGCTGGGATTAAGACTGTGCACCAGCTGGCAAATCCCACCCCAGGATCTGCGGGCAAACCCAATCAGTCCCTGAGGTCCAGGGGATCCTGACTCTGCTATTCCGGCCACCAGAGAGTGCAGAGGTGAGCTTCTTCAGGCCGGCCTTGGACCCAACTTTCATCTGCCCACCCTGCCAAACTCTGCCCTGGGATCTTTGACAGGACGACTCAACCCCTGAGGTCCAAGCAACTCAGAAATGCTGACATCTCTGCGCCAGTCCTGCTCTCACCAACCTGGAGAGTGAGTGTCTCAAACCTGCCTGCACCCACCTTGAAACCCATCAGAGTATAAGAGCCAATTGCACACATCTGAAGAGAACACAGACCCATACACACCAGAAAAGGAAGTGACACCACCTGTACCCACTGGACGAAGAGATGGGAAGACGACAATAAAAGAACACATCCAACAACAGGTAAACCAATATGACACCACCAGAGTCTAGGGACTCCACACCAGCAACACATGAACATCCCAAAACAGAAGGAGCAGAAGAGAGCAACCTTAAAAACAACTTCATGTAGATGATAGAGAACCTAAGAGAGGAAATCAGAATCCTTCAGAGAACTGGAAGAATAGATGAACCAAAAGATGCAAGACATCGAGGAAAGCCAAAAAAGCCAAAAAAAATACAATGAAACAGCTGAAGGAAACAGTTCAGAACCTGAAAACTGAATTAGAGACAAAAAAGAAAACACAAATTGAGGGAATGCTGGAAGTGGAAAAGCTGAATAAACAATCAGGAACCACACATGCAAGCATAACCAACAGAATACAAGAGATGGAAGACAGAATCTCATACGCTGAAGATAAACTAGAGGAAATAAACTCATCAAGCAAAGAAAATCTGAAGTCCAACAAATCCATAACACAAAATATCCAGGAAATATGGGACACTGTGAAAAGACCAAACCTAAGGATAATAGATATAGAAGAAGGTGAAGAAACCCAACTCAAAGGTGCAGAAAACATATTCAACAAAATCATAGAAGAAAACTTTCCCAACCTAAAGTAAGACATGCCAATGAAAGTACAAGAAGCCTACAGAACGCCAAATAGAGTGGACCACAAAAGAAAGTCCCCTCATCACATAATAATTAAAACACCAAAAGTACAGAATAAAGAAAACATATTAAGAGCAGCAAGGGGAAAAGGCCAAGTAACATATAAAGGCAAACCTATCAGAATTAGACCAGACTTCTCCATGGAAACTCTGAAAGCCAGAAGGACCTGGATAGATATTCTACCAACCCTGAGAGAACACTGATGCCAGCCTAGACTACTATATCCAGTAAAGCTTCCAATCACTATAAATGGAGAAAACAAGATATTCCACTACAAAACCAGATTTTAAACAATATGTAACCACTAATCTAGCCCTACAGAAAGTACTGGAAGGAAAACTCCACCCTAAGGAAATTAACTACACTCACATGAACATTGGCAATAGATAATCCCAGTCTACAAAAACACAAAATAAAAGGCAGGGTAAATCCACATACAATACCAGTACCAACAACAAAAAAATCAAGAATAAACACTCAATGGACCTTAATTTCCCTCAATATTACTGGTCTTAACTTGCGTATAAAAAGACACAGGCTAGCAGATTAGATACAAAGACAGAATCCATCCTTCTGTTGCATACAAGCAACACACCTCGAATTCAAAGACAGACATTACCTAGGAGTAAAGGGATAAGATATTCCAATAAAATGAAACGAGGTGGGGTAGCTATCCTAGTATCTAACAACATAGACTCCAAACTAAAATCAATCAAAAGAGATGAAGAAGGTCATTTCCTAATCATCACAGGAAAAATCCACCAGGCAGAAGTCTCAATTCTAAACAAAGGCACCAACATTCGTAAAAGAAACATTATTAAAACTCAAATCACAAATGAGACCTCACACAGTTATAGTGGGAGACTTCAGCATGCCACTTTCACCACTGGACAGGACCACCAGACAGAAACTTAACAGAGAGACAAAGGAACTAATAGAAGTTATGACCCAATTGGTATTAACAGACATCTATAGAACTTTCTATCCAAACACAAAAGAATATACCTTCTTTTCAGCATCACATGGAACCTTCTCAAAAATCGACCACATACTCGGCAACATAGCAAACCTCAACAGGTACAAAAAATTTGGAATAATCCCCTGTGTCTTATCAGACCACCATGCTTTAAAGT